GGAAACAGACCCGCCCGCTGCTGTGTCCGAGCATCGGCCGCATGATGAGCGCGGCAGGACACTTGAAAAGCATTCCAGCGCATCAGCGCGACCGACAAACACTGCCCCCAATGGTTCATGACACCCTCATGAAAAAATGCACGGTCTTCTGCAGAGCTGGCGGGTGGGAGGACGCGCCGCTGCGCCAGACGGCGAAGCAGAGTGAGGGTCTCGCCACCCCAACGGCCGAATGTCTCCGCTGCTAGGGGCACGAAGGTGTAGCCTTTCTGCCGACAGTTGGCACCGTACTTGCGATCTTTGTCGCGCTCCGCCCCTGCAGCTGCAAAACCGCCCGGCCGACGTGCGTTGCTGCGGTTGACCTGGGTGTGGTGGGCGGTTGAGTTCTCGGGCCGACACGGATGGACCACCGTGATGTCGCACAGGACACCTTCGCCGTTGATGGAGAAGAAGAGGTCCATGCGCTGACTGTTGGGCTGGGCGTTTGGGGGGGTGATGTTGAGAGACCGCAGGGGCACTTCGGTGACAGCCGTGATGCCCACCTCCGCAAGGATTGCCTTAAAGACGTCCAGCAGGGTGTTGTGCTTGAACACGCGCTCCGCCGTCGCGCGGCTGCAGAGGAAGAAGTGGTCGCCTAGGGTGTCGATGCCCGCTCCACACGGGCATGACGGTGCGAGGCTGGCGAGGGGGAAAGTGATGCCGAGGGTGAGGGCCGTAGCGAGGCGGTAGGCGTAGTTGTTCAGGCACTTGCGCTTGTCACCTCGGGTATAGCGGGGATGGCCGACAGCCAGCCAGACGAGAGAGGCCCCAGGCAGGAGAGAAGGTGGCATCGATCACGGCTGCCAGCTGGGAAAGACTCGAAGAGGGTGTCGAAGTCCTTCTGCGCAAGGGCGGCAGAGATCTTCTGCTGCAGCCGGGCTTGCGGGCGTGCGATGAGTTGCGCGATAGGGGGGATGGCGACAGAGGGGAGGGATGCGGAGAAATCGATGCGGGCGGATGCCGCCGAGACGAGCCATTCCAGCTGGAGAAGAGAGGCTTCTGACTCGGGCATTCAGGGTTGCCCATGGAAACGATCCCACACATCCCCCACGGTGACGGCCACGGACCCCAAATAAGCACCCGGTGCGACACGCGTGGACGACACCAGCCCAAAGCCCCCCAACCGGATGGGAAGCTGCACCTGCCGGTGTGCCGAAGTAGACAGGGCGCCCGTGCGGTGGATGCTGGTGAACGCGGTGACCTTCGCAGCATCATGTGCACGGGCGGCCGCCAGGAGGGGCGGGGAGGGGGCGAGGAGGCGGCATCAGTAGAGGAAGCGAGGAAACCCACAGTAGCGAAGGAGCAGGTTCGCCCCCTGCACTGCATGGTCCCAATCGTCGACAGCAAAGGCAACGACGGCGTTGAGGAGGCGCTGATGCTTGGCGACGACCTCGTTCACGACGCGCTCGATGAAGGCCGGGGT